ACATAAATTTTTTCCAGCATCATCAACTTTGAACCATAATAGCAAATTGCATTATCCTTTACGATTGTCGCAAATTGATTATCCAACAAATTATTAAAAAAAAAAAATTGAGATCAATGCAATAAATTTTTTTACTGACGAGTAACTGAGAAGTCGGACAAAAGATAATTTAGTATCATAATTTAAATATTCCTAATTATTAAAAAAATAAATATTAAATAATTTTTGCGATCCTAATATAATAAATATTTGTTTATTTAAAATTTTCCCTTGTTTTTCAAAAGTTAAAATTTTAACAGTGCACTTCTGTATAATGGAGCATTAACAAGATCACATACGCCGCTTGAGCACTAATACCTTTTTTTTTAACATTTTGTGTGTGTAAATAAATACACAGTTATCTAAATGCAATTCATCTATTCAGATGGCCAGTAACTAAAAAGCTATATAAATGTTGGGTTTTATAAGAGTTATGTTATAGGAAAAGTGATTCTGTAATGTTATAGAGATTCGTTTTGCGAGACGTAATTTTTTTTTTCTTTTTTCTTCAAAAAGTGTGGGCCCCACAAAATATTATGTGTGTAGAAAAGTTTGTTGCATCATGTTAAATAACAAATGCAAACCCCATAAATGTTATCTAGCAAATCTAATTTTTACTAATATTTTTAGATATAATTACGCTTTTCTTATTTGAGGGATAAAAATGTGTGTTTTAATTCATTTAGAAATATATATATATATATATATATATATATATATATATATGTATATATATATATATATATATGTATATGAGAAATATTATATTTACAGACTATACTAGGTATGACCGGTCATATTTAATGTAATTTGTAAGAAAAATTTGTAAACGATTTCTTCATATATATATATAATGGCGGACCTGTTTGGTCGCCCATGTCCGCACTTGCGGACATGAATCCCTGCAATTTTTTTTTAAAACATAGTCGTAAAGCATGATTTCATTAGATTAGGCTTTGCTTGGATATATAACGAGGGATGAAATGGAAATGAATGAAATACGGTGGGATGGAATGTGATACCATATATTTTATTGGATATTTTATGATGCCATATAACAAATCAGCTTGATTAAAAAATAAAATAAAAGGTGTTGAGAATAATTTTTTATGTTAAGTTGAAGTTTTTTTCTTTTATTATTTATGTTTTTTGTTTTTAATACATTTAAATTTTTTTTAAAAAAATATTTTCGGGGACGCTGCCCCCCGAACACCCGTCATTAAATGTGTGGACATAAATAATATTTTATGGATCACCGATGTGTGTGTGTATATATATATATATATATATATATATATATATATATATATATATATATATATATGAGGTAGGATCCTTTGACACCGGTGTCAAATTTCAATTTTGACACCTCCTCTGAGAGCCGTTAGATAAAAAAAATCAATGGTGTCACATGCTTGCAAATCATAGTCGATGATTTTTTTTATCTAACGGCTCCCAGATGAGGTGTCAAAATCGAAATTTGACACTGGTGTTAAAGGATCCTACCTCTATATATATATATATATATATATATACACACGGGAAATAATAGTCTCATGTTGTAGGAGACTACTATCTTATGCCATAGACACTTCGATAAGTGTGCTGCTATTTTTTTTTCTTTTCTTTTCTCTTTTTTAATGGTGGGTCCTATCATTTTGTGTCTTTGCATAAGATATGCTCTCTCCTACAACATGAGAGTAGACAAACCCATATATACGCATATATGATTGACTGTTATTATCAGTGTTTTAAAACCTCACCTCGCCTCCCGGGTTGACCCGGGTCAACCTTGATCCCTCCCCTATGAGGGTTGGGGTCACAAGTTGGACCCTATATGCACATCGACCCCTCTGACCCCCAAAACTCGGCCGGGTTTTAGTGACTCCCGGGTCAGAGGGGTCAAAGGGGGTCACTGCATGTTTTTTTCTTAAAAAAGAATTATCTGAAACAATGTCGTTTTATTAAAAAAATAAAATGAAAATGCTTACAAACCTAAATCTAATCGTTCTCTTTTCTCACAGTGACCTAGACATCTTCAATCTTCACCTCGCTGCCGTGAATCTTCTAGAAAAGGTAAGAATTTTTCCCTATTCAAATGAAATCCTTACATCTGTTGATGGAAAACAAAAACTCATTCTTACCTCTTTAAATTTTTCTTTGTCAGAGACCTTATCAAAAGAGGCTGAACCGGGTTACTGTAGTGACCCCATTAGAATATAAGTTTTGTAATTTGGTATCTTGATATTTTAATTAGGTCGTGTAATATTGACTTGTGGTTGTAATTGGTGAATTATGTTAAGTATATTTTGAATCTTTGATGATTGGTGATTTGTTTTTTAATATTTTCATATATATATATATATATATATATGTAATAAATAAAATCGGATCAGCGTAGAGATCCCGTGACCCCCTGATGGAACCCGTGATCCCATGACTCCTGCGGATTTTTAAACACTGGTTATTATGGATCCAACTATGTAACAGCTATCACGTTCGGTGTCCTGCAGCACCGGTAAATTTCGTTCGACATCTTGATTGCCAAATGAAACACATACCTCATGTTCGAGTGATTATTTATTTAGGGGAATAATAGGAAAATAATAATTTTTCCTGTAGAGATATTATATTGTGGGTTTCATGTATTATTTTTTTTCTTCTCTTTTTGCTATTTTTTTCTATTGCAGGAAAATTTTATTTTCCTTATCATGTGATTGATCGATTACCCTTTATTTATTGGCAAATTTTTGTATCATATTGCAGAAATTTCTAAAATAAAAAAATAAACATACCTTTTAGTTGTCATTTCTTGAACCCCACAAAAGTACACTTTTACGTAGTGATCTTTTTAGATTTGCAATTTAAACCATTCCCAGTTTGTACTTTTGACAAAAAAAAAAAAAAAAGTTTGTACTGATCACAAAAATAATTTGTCCTCTTTAGCTAAACCATGCCAATCATATTACCTTAGCAAGTGGGGACCCTAATAATGTATTATTAATGGTGTCCCCGGATATATAGAGTATCAGATAAACGTTCTTAAAGTCGAAGGTCTTCTAAATTTGTCAATACTTAACTATTCTCCTTCAGTTCTACCCTTAAAAAGCAAGAAATATTTCAAATTAAGAACATACTGAAATGGTGAATATTGTTGAGATTAATATTCATTACGAGTCTCAATTTCTTAGCTTTCTAGCATTGATTATGGCTATTGCTAATCATCTTTCATCCATCTCATTCCAGCTGGTTTAAATTTAAGTGTTTGATGTTTGAGCAAAATGTTTTGAAAAGAACCGAAGCAATCTTTCCATGCACCGGGTGCGCGCTACGCACATTCCTTTTTGGTCGTTGAATTTTGATGCCACGCAACATTCTCAAATTCACTTTTTGTTTTGTTTTAAAACCCAAAGAAAGAAACAAAAAAACTAATTAACGAGAATTTGGTTAAACCTAATTCCAGCCAAGCCCAATAAAGCGCGAATTTGAAAAAAAATAAAAATACTTTACACCTAAATTTAAAGAATCACTGTGCTTAACAATAACATCTCCACGTGTTTTTCCTTTCTTAAAAAAGTGTGAGACCAAATTAATTTTTAAGAATTAACTAAGAATTGTTGATTGAATATGATGGGTTTAAAAAAAATAAATTAACTGATATAATTTAATTATTTTCTTATGATATTTAATCGATCTAGTTTAAAATATAAATATAATCCAATTCAACTCAGTATAAAATAATTTAAATTAGAGCAATTTTTTAATTTTTATTAAAATTTGAGAATAAAAAGATCTATCAAAATAAGTTAAAAATGAGTTTAAATTAATTTGTCAACATACAATAAATTTAAATTTAAATTCTAAACATAAGTCGAATTATTTGTCAATAATATAATTATATAAAAAATAAAAAAATAAAATAAAAGTATAGTAACAACGTTTCTAAATAAAATAGGAACAGTATATAAATTTCTCAAGTAAAGTATTATTTTAAAATGTATATATAAAGTTTTAATTCTTTTGAACTGTATTGATTTCTAAATTTAAATTAAAAATTCGTTGAATTTAAATATTTTAAAATATTTTAATTTATTTAATTTTCAAATTTTAGCTCGATTGTGTAGTTTTAATCACTCTGCCCAAAATCAAAGGGATCTGTAATCCCATATACCACGGTATTGATGGGATAGGTTTTGTTACGCCCATTTTGAATGAAAGGGAGGACACCCCTATAATTCAATGGGATTGGTCACAAATTTAGGTCATTAGTTTTCAAATTAAAATCGATCTATAATTTGTTCTTAGACTAATATCGTATTTGTGTATTGAATTGATTAACAGACACGTCAGTGTATATGTATAGAAAGACAATTATGATAATATTATTTTTAATGACAAAATTAATATCTCTTTATTAAAAAGTAAGGAGTGAATCTTTTTACATCTCATTTCATTATGAATACGTGGAAATTTCAATTATCCAGAATTTTCAACGACAGAGAAACTTTAAACAATTAAAACGGTAACTTTAAATTTTCCGCAAGCTTAATTAAGGATTATAGATTTGTCATTAAGACTCAGCTGTTATAACCTCATATTATAATTTGTCATAAAAAATTATAAAAGGATGAAATCGTCTTACCTGAAAGGATGACATTAAAATGGAACATGTTGATTTGTCATTAACTACGTGACAATAATTGTTAATTTATAATTAAGAATTATGGACAGATCACAGATGTGAAATCTTCTCACATAATTAGCAGAATTTATTATACATAAATCGTAATAATAGTACACAGCCATAATCTATGTCAGTTGAAATTGAGTTGTCAACCTTCCCGTGCGCACTACGCACAGGGTGCACTTTACCAGCAAGGCAATTCGTTTTCAAAAAATAACTTTTTTTTTAAATAAAAAAAAAGATAAAAATAAAATTCCAACAAATTTCCCCTCCAATTTTCTCGTCCTCTTGTCTCTTGTTGTTTCTCTCTCTTGTTTCTCTCTCCTCCTTCCTCCAAAGCTCAGCTCCAGCTTGGAGGGTTCATGGTGGAGCTTCTGGATCTCACCGCCACGAATCCCCAATGCTCCTTCAACTCTCGATCCTCACCATGACTCGCCACCGTGGGAAAACCCTCCCTCTTCACCTTCAATCCTTCGATTTCAAATCTTCCTGAGACTCTTCTTTCTGTTTCGGCCAAAAAAGGGGGGTGAAGCTGAGTTCTAGCGTTCTGCAAAAAAGAAGAAGAAATTCACGACATCGTTGAGTTGGTCGCAGGATGCCAGGACATCGGTCGAAGTCGGAGAAGCATGACGGAGAGAAGCAGCTCCGGCGGGATCCCTACGAGGTCCTCGGCGTTTCCCGCAACTCAACGGATCAAGAAATCAAAACCGCTTACCGGAAAATGGCCCTCAAGTATGTTTCGTTTTGCTTCTCGCGGTGGCTTGCTTTGTTATTATTTTTGAACCGTTCTTCGTAGAGAGTAGGATAGTTTAATAGGGAAAATATAAGGGTTTTACATGGCATTGATTTTTGAGTATGCTGGAGATAATTTATAATATTAGAAGTTAAGTTTGAATATTGTTATGTTTGAAAAGTGTTCTCTTTATAATGTTGCTTGATGCTTTATAAAAAAGAGTATTTTTTTTATTGTAATTCTCAGAGTCTCAGAGAGACTTAACGTGTGAGAAAATAGCACTATGTATGAAGACGCTGCTGCAGCCACTCGGTCAAGACCGGTTACTTAGACACAGAACTGCAGAATCCCTTGCAAAAATCTTCTCCTTCGCTTGTTTTAAGCCTAGGTGAAGTCATGATTCATGAAAACGGTTTTCTTTTTATATATTTCATTCTTTCCCTCCATGCATCGGTTGGTAGGTGTTGCCGAGATTTTTGAGCCAAATTCAATCAAAAGTTTAACCAACTAGATGGATTCCAAATTATACTATATTTTAATATAGATGATTGATGGAAGTAGTCTTCGTAACTACTTATTGTGGCTGGGCGTTCGCAGAAGTACTTAATGCTTGATAATGATATTATACTTAACCTAAAATAGATAAGGATAATGCTAACTATTAAATGATATCTGGCCTAGTGGCCTTTGAATATAAAATTCTCGTATAGGTGGAGGAACTAAGAAGCTGCATAGAAGGTTGTTTTATTTTGTGCTAAAACATTTTTGGTCCTAGAATCAAATAAGATGACATAGGTCATATTAATTTGGAAAAAGAAAAAGAGAAGAGGCTGTTAAAAATAATAAAACTATTACATTGGAAAACATTCATTTTTACCCTCGTTTGATTTTAGCCAGAGCACCTTTTTGTTTTAATTTTTCACACATACTGATTGATCATCCAGATAAGCCCCAATAACCTTCCAAAGATAATGTTGGAATGAAGGCTCTGCTCATGTTGTCAGATTGGTTTCATGCATCTGATATGAGCACTTAACAGTTTAAAATAAAACTTCAAAACTTCATGGAGTTTTACTGAAATAAAGTAATGCTCCTTCAGGGGCACCTGTTTACTCTAATTGACTGTTCTTCCTGTCTTCTTTTCATATGAATAGAGTTGGTTAATTACTTAATTTATTAATTGGCTAAACCTATTCCATTTCAGATATCATCCTGACAAGAATGCTAATGATCCTAAAGCTGCCGATATGTTTAAAGAGGTTACCTTTTCTTATAATATTTTGTCAGACCCTGACAAAAGGCGTCAGTACGACTCAGCTGGCTTTGAGGTGATATAAGTTGTGTTAATATGATGAACCATTAAGACTTTAGGAGGGTCATCAATCCTCCAAGTTTACATTTTCCGTTGCTTTTTACTGATTCCAATTTTGTACCATTTTTTTCCCAAATTTCTTTTTTTCTAAAATAAAATTTTATCTTGAATCTCTTCGCATGGATCATTTAAAAAAAAAAAAACTCCCCGTTAAACCCGACTAGTGGTGAAATATTTCATGTTTTTGTGTAGGCTGTTGAATCAGATAGCCAAGAGTTGGAGTTGGATCTTTCAAGTTTGGGTGCTGTCAATACGATGTTTGCAGCACTTTTTAGGTAAGAAGGCTGAATATGCTTCTCTTTGAATTGACTTTTTAACCCCTTTTCTCTTGTTGAGTGCTTAAACATAGCTACATGTTTCCTTTTGTTTTGAGTTCTTCCTGTCGGTTCTCTAGTTTTCCCTCCTTTTCATGATCAACTTTCCCCATACATGACAGTAAACTTGGTGTGCCAATCAAGACAACTGTATCTGCTACTGTTTTGGAAGAGGCACTCAATGGTTTAGTTTCCATTCGTCCACTTCCATTGGGACAGTTTATATCTAAAAAGGTGAGCTGCTTCTATTTTTAATTCATTGATCCCTATTTAGTCACATTTTTCTTTTGTTTATTTTTTTGGTACCTTCATCTGACAGGTTGAGAAGCAATGTGCACACTTCTATTCAGTTACAATAACAGAAGAGGAAGCACGAGCTGGGTTTGTTTGTCGAGTGCAATCATCAGACAAAAGCAAGTTCAAGGTTGGAATTTAAATCTCTGCCATTCATGTATATAAAGATTGCATGTGAGTTATGATCAACCTGCTGATCTTAAAATATTTGTTCATGCTTCATGGAGTCTTGTTTCTTCTCAGAATTCTATAAAAATATATGATTTCCAGAAAGATTAGTTTTTTGGGGGGTGGGTGTTCTAGATACATCAAATGTTCATTTTATTTTCCTAGAAATAAATTGGTAGTTTGAACTCTTGGTCAACTTTTAAAAGCATTTTGAATTTACTCGAATATCCATCCATTATGCTATTGATCTCCTTCTGTTGAGCAGTTTCACATGTCCTGGATCTGTTTGAATAATTAGGAAGATTATCATTCGTCTTCCTTCCCTTTATGTGAGCACTGATTTCTATAGCTCAAGTTGACGTCTGGTCAATTGCTTTACCAGTAATTGTGATACCAGTCTTGCTATTTTTGTCATGTAGTTTTGCTTCAAAACAAAAATCCAGTCTCTTACAATGGGGATACATAGTATAAATCATAAAACTATTCTTTTGATTTTCATTCCTCATACAATTAAAGTGGTATTAATAGTATATCCCTTGTACTACTCTAGAAATTGGTAAGATAATTTGGTATGATTTGGGCCCTGATTCACTGTTTTGTTGACAAAATGCTACTCCATATATGCAGATGGGCTACCTCTGGACTCTATTATCACCCTTTTCTTGTTTATTGATAGTGATTATGATATGAAGTTCAATCATAATTCATAATGTTATCCAAGAGTTTCATTTTTTTTTTCTCAATGCAACTAGGAGACTAATTGATTTTGGAGTTGTTTCTAATTTACTGCATGTTAGGGAGCCAAACCCAAATTTACTTGAGATCTTAATGCTCACTTGACCTGCTAGATGAGATTGATTCTATTTGACTGTAATGATTTGTTCTTGGGGAACTTTGAACTTGGACTTTCATCAAAGTAATCCTGTATCTTAACTATAAAATAGTGGTTAAACTACCCCTTTAGCTGTGTAATTTATTTGTCTCCTGCTTTTACTGTTTTAAATTTTTTTTTTTTTTTTGTACATTATAAATTATTAATCTGTATATTTTAACTATTGTTCAACTTGATTTCATAAAATTTTAATCATTTCAAAAAAAATACTCTGTTATGTTTGTAAATGATCATTTTTTAATGGGTTTCCACAGTTATTATATTTTGACCGGGAAGACAACGGTGGTTTAAGTCTTGCACTTCAGGTATTTTACATTTTCCCTGTGTGTGTCTGAAAATAATGTATGTTTTCTCTCTCTCTCTCTTTTTTTTTTTCCTTTTTTTCCTGAGGAATTAAATATTTCTTATGTAATGTTTAGTCATTGCACGTTAGTGGCTCTCTTGTAATTACTTCATAATTTTTTTTTCCTCTTCTGACTTCTGAACATTCTAAGACGTTTTAATTATTATTGTAGGAAGACAGTGCCAAAACAGGGAAGGTTACCTCTGCTGGAATGTATTTTCTTGGGTTTCCTGTTTATCGGTTAGATCAGACAATGAACTCTGTGAGTTGCTTCTGGAAACGGATATTATTCACTTTACATTTTTTCTATCTTTTTTCATTTTAAAATTTGGTTCTTGAATTATTTCTCTACAGATAGCTGCTGCTAAGGATCCAGATACATCATTTTTCAGAAAGCTGGATGGATTCCAGCCTTGTGAATTGACAGAATTGAAGGCTGGTACCCATGTATTTGCAGTTTATGGTATTTGCATACTTCGATGCCCAGTGCTGCTTGTTATGTTTATTGACTAAAATTAGGCTCTATAGGAATTGACTATTACATGCTGTCAAATTTCTTCTAGGTGACAACTTTTTCAAAAGTGCAAACTATACAATAGAAGCTCTGTGTGCTGCACCTTTTAGTGAAGAAAAGGAAAATTTAAGAAATGTAGAAGCTCAAATTTTGTCTAAAAGGGCAGAAATGTCGAAGTTTGAGACAGAATATCGAGAGGTGTGCATTTTGTTGCTAGCATTCTATATATTACGTATCTTTTCATCAAATCTCACACTGGCTCTTCGTAGGTTCTGGCACAATTCACAGAGATGACAAGCAGATATGCACATGAAATGCAAGCAGTGAGTTTTTCTTTTCCTTTTCAAAGGGTTTCTATGTTTCATCCGCCCACAAAAAAATAAAAATAAATAAAAAATGAAAAATCAAATGGAAGCTATTGAACTTCTGCTATTTATTGTTTTGCAGATTGACGAGCTACTGAAACAAAGAAATGAAATACATGCATCATACACTATTGCTCCTTTAAAACGGAGTACAAGTAAGAGCAGGAGTAAAAATTCTTCCAAGGAGGCAAAAGAAGATAGTCAAGCAAGAGAGAAGAGGAATATAAGAGATCGGCCAAAGAAGAAGAAATGGTATAACATCCATTTAAGAGTAGATAAGAGAAAGGCTTGCTGAGGTGAGAATTGGAGAATTAACAAGTTCTGTCACTCGTTTATTGTTAAATAATGCTTTATTTTATTGTTTGCTTGTCAAATTTGAATGCCACGGTGAGACTAAAATCAGTTGATCTGCACTCTTAATTGTTCAGCATTTGTTCAAGCTATAAGACGAAGGCTTTGCCAAAGCAACAACCAAATGTCGTTGGAAGTTTTCATTTGTGTCACTGAAGCATGTCAAGGATGACAACAACTCATTGTTTTTGTATAATCCCTTTTGCCCTTTCCTTTTAATGTCTCAGTAGCTCATCCTCATCTTCAGAATCCGTACTTGTAAATTGTTTGATTTATTGATGAAGCATGATCAACTCTCTGCGCGGGTTGTAATTTTGTTTAGAAGCAATGGCAAAGCTTTGGAGGATAGAGCCAAGTATTTTCTTGCTCAATGGTAAATTCAAATTTCAAATAGCTGGAATTTGGCCAAACAGTCTGGTTGCATACTTATTAACTTATAATCTGCTTGTACTTCTCATGTTTTGCCGTTTTTTTTTTCTTTGTCCTCTGCCCTCTTGAATTTGCATTATATTCACGCCGTATATTTAATAAATGCAATCGATTCCTTCTCAGAACCTTGATTTTATGCTGGAAATTATGATTATGAGTGCAGTGATTGGTTGCTGAGTCCTGTGCATTTTATTATTTTATTTATGGGTTTTCGTTTTATCCTTTAACATAACACAACAAACTTTTCTACACTCACAACATTTTGTGGAGCTCACACTTTTTAAAACAAAAAAATAAATAAAAAATTAAGGCACGCAAAACGAATCTCTATAACATTACACAATCACTTTTCCTACAACATAACTTTTATAAAACTCTTTATTTATTCATTTACGTTAATCTTGGTGGAGGGGTGACAAGTTGGAGGGCTGCTTGTTTGATCTCATTAGTCATTAATACAGAAAAATGGCTTGAATTAAATATGGACCTTTACATCGGCATTGCAAGGATCTAATGATATCTCAAGACAGTTTTTGATAATTGGACACTATTTGATAGACAAGTAATGATGTAGCCAAACTGGATGCAACAACAGAAAAGAGACATAGATACTACTGTCCCGCTGCTAAGAGTGCGATAAGCCCATGGGATGTTTTGACACAGCTTCCTCAGCCCCGCTGCCTACTCAGTGTTGTATCATGTATGCAGTGTAAACCCCGAGGTGTTGCTGAAGTTGAAGAGCCTGTTGTTGAAATTTTTACAGTGAGAGAATCCAACTGCATGTGCATCAACCAGACCTACCATTTCTTGCTTGGAGAACCCTTTTGAGTTGGGGTTTGTTATGACATGAAACACTGTCATTGGGAGTGACGAGTGCTTGGATAAAGAAAGATGAAGGTAGTCGAATTTGGCATAAAAAATTTGGCAACATCAACATCAACGATCTTTATCCCAAATTAATTAGGTCGGTAATAGATGAACCCAAGTGAAAGGTACTAAGAGATAAAATAAAAATAATATATATATATATATATATATATATATATATATATATATATATGGGAAATGTTATAGTTACTATCTCTTTTTCTTACTACTAGTTATTACTAAATCGTAACCGTTGATTTCTGTCAATTTAACGGTTATAATTTATTAAAAATTAAAAATTAATTAATAAGTATGACCCAATAAATTATAACCGTTAGATTGAGGAAATCAACAGTTACGATTTAGTAGTAACATGTAGTAAGAAAATGAGATAATAACTATAACCTCTCCCTATATATATAAGTAAAAATAAAAGGGGCGTAAAAAAATAAAAATAAAAGTGGGAGAAGAAGATGGGGAAGAGGAAAAGAGACAAATGAAAAGAAGAGGAAAATAAGAGTGGGGAGATGAAGAGGAAAATGATTAAAATTGGACCATCTAGAATATAGGAATAACAACAGACTAAAAAGGGGATCATCTGAAACATAAGAATAACAACGGGTCTAATATTTCATTATGCTAATAGCTTTTCTCCAATCCATTTTAAGACACACCGTCCGTCAATCTATATGTAAATATTTTATTCTTTATGTAGAAACTATGACTCAAGCCTATGCGAATGATTTGTGGAGTTGTGGAATTGGAGGTTCTGCGAAGCATTGGAGGGTAAAGGACAGTTGTTATTGCGGAACAGAGGAGGAGAGAATTCACAGGTAGTTAGTTATTGAGGTGCAATTCGAATTCCTATTAAACCCTTCTATATGCCTTTGCAATATATGATGCAGATGCAAAAAATAAAATGATGATAAATTCAATAAATTTCGTTACTATCAACACTTGCTGTATGCAATACGGAAGCATCCTCTGCTTATTTTTATTAACTCAAATTATATCAGTTGGTATTTTTGCGGGCTTTAATCACAATTTTTTTGGGGGGTCTTTGTTGAGTACCCAAGTCACTAATTTTGCGGCCATTGGTCCATTGTACCATTAAGAGGTGCTCTAAACAATTGGTAAATTGACAAATTAGTAATCACACTCACTTGTAATTTCCTTCCATTTAATCTAGAACAAAACTGAAAATTATAACTCTTATCATTAGCCAAATCCAAGTTATTTTGCTTAACGACTAACGAGTGACCTCTGTTTCCATCCTTATAAAACCTTGGAAAACGTTTAAATACCTTACTGAAACAACTTGATTGTGTTATCAAAAAAAAAAAAAAAAACAACTTGATTGGAGTATAGATGTAGCAGTAGCAAGCAAGATAAAGATTTGTATTATTACAAAACTTCAAGAACACAACTTAATTGATAGATAAATATAACCAACATATGACACGAAGGGCACAACACGTGACCGAACACAGAAAATAGGAAGCTAAAACAAACTGGAAGTGTAGTTAATTAAATCCTCTCTTTGGCTACAAGAAAGGTAAGCATATAAGGAAGGAGAGTGATTATGAATGCAGGATAACTGAGGCTTCTTGGAGAAGCAGAAGGTGGTGGTGCAGGACCCATTGCCATTCCAGGCATGGTAGAGCCAGAGTTAGACCCACCATCATCTCCTCCATATTGAGCAGCCACAACCACAACCATGACCAAAAGACAAGCTGCGAGCATGTTGAATTTGATTGGTGAAGCCATTTCTATTGTTCCTTTGCTTATTGCAGTTGGAGACTTGTTTTGCTCTTTTGAACCAAAGTGTGTTATATAAATAGTGAAGAATTATGCATTGCTTCTGCCAGTTTGTTCTTGGAGAACAAAGAAAGAGCGAATAAAGGCCTCGGACTTAGCTCCTAAGATGTTTCTTGTTTAAATTAAAAAATATATATTATTAATATTTAAAATAAATTCAACAAAGAAATGCATTGCTTTGATCGTTAAGCTATGCTTATTTTGGATGATACTTCTGTCTTCTTGTTAGGGAAAGAATTGCACTACAAAATTACAGACCCAAGTTCATGATGATGTTTGGCCAATTATACATTATTAGTATTCCGAGCTAATTTACATCTTCCGCTTATACTTGCAAGTCTGGACACAAGCTATAAATGGCCCAGATAAAATAATTAACGACGCACCAATGCACCATCAACAAGTGATTGATAATAACGAGAGAATTTATCATCCTCCGGGATCACTATTTTTTAAGTAATCTCTTAGTGTAAACGAGAGTATAAAATTAGAAAAGAGGAAAAATAATAGGAGTAAAAAAAAAAAAATTAGTGTTGTGAGAAGAACGCCTAATTATTGAGTGATCCTGGAGCATTAAAAATATTTCCGATAATAAGTACACTGACTATAATTTATCAGCTATTACGAAGCACAAATATGTTTACGTGGCAAGAAAATTGCATCATACAATAGGTTACTTGTATCTTTTATAGAGTTAAAAACTTAGCCTTGAATACGGTTTTTAAAAACAATTTTTTGGTTTTTTGAAAAAATAAAATAAAAAACATATATGAGTTGTTTGTATTTTGTCTTTTGTGTTGCGACTTCGACAATGCACCGGTCGTACAAGTATTAAAGTGATAAAATAAGGTCGTCGATCTCACGGTGATTGATTACCAATCACTAATCTATCTATGCAAATAAAGTTGGATCTATTCTAATTGATTTTGTTGAGAGAATTAATTGTAAAAATAAAACAGAAATTTTAAACAACTTATTTTTAATTTTCAATATTTAAGAAATTAATTCAAGAATTAATAATGCGAGAAAATTAGTTTTAACGTTTACTAAAAGACGTAGCTAGGACTCGAATTCCCCAGTATTTTCCTAACAAGTCTACCCATTCTTATAAATAACATTCGAGATCAAGTTATTAACGATTCTTTCTAAATTTGATTAAATCTCAATCCCTTGGTAATTTGATCCTTTACTTCATTCAAAAGCCTAATCCCTTAGTACTTTTTCCTAAAGCAAGTATTAACGCAAGAGTTATAGAATTCGTAAGTCTATACTAGATTATACAAACTCTAGCACTCAATCAATCAGAATCAATACACCAACATCTCTAATGTCATTCAAGATTCATATGTTTATCTACGAGTGATCAATTCATAAACAAAGCTAGTCATGAAGAAACATATTGATTACATAACTTTAAATCATGAATATAAATTATAAGAAAAGATAAACAACGTTTAAGAACTCATTGGTTCCGTCTCGCCCTAACTACTTAAATAAATTTAGCTTAAGATGTTCATAAAATCAAAATAGAAAGATGATAAAAAGTAAAGAGAGTTCATGATAAAACTTGATTAATGATCAATGATGAAGCTTTGATATCCTTCTTCTCCTCTGCAATTATGCTCTAGAATTTCTCCGCTTCTGCCTTCGTCTCTGAGTTTTCGCTTTCTTTCGTCTTCTGAATATATTTTTAAGGCATCGTCTCGTTCTATTTAAAGACTTAAACTGGGCCTTTAATTTTGGGCAAATTCCCTCTCTCGCTTCTGAGCTCGCCTCACGAACTTAATTGAATATCTCGCTCATTGAAGGGAGCTGCAGAGCGAGGAAAACTTAATTTTTATTTTCCTATTTTTCCTCTATATTTAGCCGATGCCAATTGCCTTTTTCTCATCAAATTAGTGGTTTGTTCTTTGAAACAACCTAAAACAATAAAAAAAATTAGAATCTTATCTAGTTGTTGACATTTTAATATTTTTTAAGATTTTATTAATTAACAGTATACTTTTAATCATATTAATTATTATTTGAACTATATTTGACATTAAAAACATAGTGTATTTGATACTTATCATTTTAACTTTTAACTTAAAAAACAAATAAGAAAACATTTATTTCCATAACTATTTTACAAAAACAACTTTAAGAAAAAAAAAACAACACAACAAAAAAAAACCCTCAGTCTGTGCCTACAGTAAATATTCGTAACCAATTATAGCTAAATTTGCTTACGTATCTTATTGACTAATTAGATTCTTAATTAGAAACCACCAATCACATAAATTAATTGGCAGAGATTTTCCAACTTAACCAGGTGATCTTGAGTTTAGTTCTGAATATGCCATTGTATTAAAAATTTACTAAAAAGAGTTTTACTGTTTTTGTGATCTTATTTGA